GGCGCTCAAAAGTTGGATCGCGGCACTAATTAATTTTGTTCAAACTGCTCAAAATCAATTTTTTTATCGCGTGCTTCGGGGTTTTCCCGTGTATGATGTGGTGTGCAGCCATCTCATGACGTGCGGCCGTAATGACGTAGAATTGACTGATTGAGATGCAAAAAAAATCCAGAGCTGTGCGAGAAACTTTCCACTTCCAGGAAGCCCAAGACTACGAAGATTGATTGAGTAGCACTGAAGTTATAATCGAAGGAACACGAAAAATGCATAATTAAAAAAAATTCCTGGTGTAATCGCTTTTGCGATAGGAGAAACGATGATAAAGATGTGGCGCTCAAAAGTTGGATCGCGGCACTAATTATTTTTGTTCAAACTGCTCAAAATCATTTTTTTGTATCGTGCTTTGGGGATTTCCCGTGGATGACGTGGTGTGCAGTCATCTCATGACATGCGGCCGTAATGACGTAGAATTGACTGATTGAGATGCAAAAAATCCAGAGCTGTGCGAGAAACGACTGCGAAATGGCCTTGGGACAAAATTTAGAATTTCTTTCACCACGAGGCCCAACATTTGGCGATTCGCTGCGCTCTGGAGCAGGCTTTGTGGCAACCATGGAGTTGAGCATAGCCTCATTATCTTGGCAGTGGAAAGAGCGTTTCAAAGAGCCCCAGATTGTCAAAATCAAGCAAACAGAACGTAAGTTATGGTGGAAATGGTGAAGTGAACTACAATTGCATTGCACTGAACTACAATTGCATTTTTCACCCGAACGATGGACCCTCAACGGGTTCAAAGAGTTATAAACTCGTTGTTTTTGATTCGATTGGAACCCCCCCCCCCCCCCCCCCCTGGAGGTTACCCTGCGTACGCGCCTGGATGAGGAGTTGGTCAGTGAATCGTCAGCCCTGGACACGTACATGCATCTGTTGTCTGTCCTGACTTTCTTCGGGTGAATAATATCGGTACTTTTTGTCGTTATGGCAACCTGTTGAAAAATCATTGAGGCAATTTGTATTAAAAAAACTCGGATATTGAGCCATTCGTAATAAGTAAAGAGAAAATGACCTATAAGTTAGTAGTTATGATTAACAGTACACCAAGGAGACAAGGTAAAGGTAACCCTAGGTCACTTCTCCTCATTGGAACTTTCCACACCTGAGCCTTCCAAGTTGCAAGGTTGTTGGTCTACACTTTGTAGATGTGTTGGAACTAGGTGTCAGGTTGTCGAATGTCTCAATATCCTTGTCAGGTTTGTGGCACTATCTGACTGAATAATATCTCATTACCTTGGTGGACTTTTAGTCATAACTAGTAACTTATAAATTGGTATTCCTGGGCATAACTTAACTAAATAAGAATGCGAATATGAGGCATAGGGTTTACATCATTTTTTGAATAAGCAGAATCTGTGTTGCCTATTTCTCTGTTGTTGGTTACTGCTCCTGGCTCAGTAAGATATTCAGCAATAACCGGACATGGCTTATTCAAGGAAATGACAAGAAGCATCCAGTTTGCTCTTGCCATACTTTTGGGAGATTGACTTTTTAAGCATTGATCTTTCTCTGTGTACCTCCACTCCTCTACAGACCCTGTCACTGTGGAGGAAGTCAGTAGGACTGCAGTCACGTTTCGTTTGCAGGTAAGAAGCTAGTTTGGGTGTCATGTCACTGCGGGGCATGGTGAGAACTAGCTGATCACATCAGGGGTACCAATAGTTTGTCACAGACACTCACAAGACAAAAGCAGACAGGTCATGCCATAGCAAGCTAGGGGCCAACACAAGCAATGCGTTCACCAGCGTGTGTGTGTATTTTTGGTCTAACGACGTCATCCGTCCTTTCCTCGGGACATTAGTATTGTACACGTGGCTACGCGTGTAGCTCTTTGTCGTACATGCTGCTGCGTTTGCGTCTCTTTGTCGTACATGCTGCTGCTTTGCGTCTCTTTGTCGTACATGCTGCTGACCCGTGGTACACGCTGCTGCGCTATCTTTGAATGCTTGGTACATGCGGCTTCACAATCTCCTGTCCCCTTCGTATGCACTCTTTCTCGTCTTGTCCCTGTTGTATGCTAATCAGCATGCGAGTGAGTGTGAGTGCTGCAGCAACAGACAATGCTGATCAGTACATGTGTGCAGAAGGCCTGCAGAACATGTTTAAACATTCCCGGGGAAGTCAGCAGCTACTGGTGAGTATGAGCATTGACAGAATAACCACTGAAGGGGAGCAGAGTATCCACCAGAACAGAGCAGAACACTGAGCAGAAAACCGGGCAGAAAACCGGCCAGAAAAAAGGAGCAGAAAACGGAGCACAAAGCTGAGCACAAAATCGAGCAGAGAACAGAGCAGAAAACTGAGCAGAAAACGGAGCAGAAAACGGAGCAGAAAACGGAGCAGGAAACTGAGCAGAAAACGGAGCAGAAAACTGAGGAATGGAAATGAATGAAAAAAAGAGAAGAAATCACAAGCACATTCTTCTCTTTTATCTTTTTTTTATTGGCTCATTATTCCCGTAGCTATGCAAAAGACGTTACACAGCTTTAATTCCGTGTTTGTTGGTTTATGCCATCGGCATGCCTGGCGCTATCCCGTACCTGTCCCGCACCGTACCGTACCACGAAGAAGAGCACGAGCTACCCATCACAGCAACAACGAATGCCGAAAAACTTGAGCCTTCCAAGTTGGGTGGTCTGTTGCTTTGCGTCGTCGAGTTGTAGTAGGGCCAGTCTGTCCAATAGTCTTACTAGTTTCGTCATCATCCAGTAACTTTTGGCATTCTTTGTTGCCGTGATGCGTAGCTCGTGTTCTTCTTCGTTGCACTTTCCTTCCCCTCTTGGACCTTTCCGAACCTGAGTCTTCCAAGTTGGAAGGTTGTTGGTTTGCGCCTTGGAGAAGTGTTGGAGCTAGGTGTCAGGTTGCCGATTGTCTCAGTACTCCTTGTCAGTGTTGTGCCATTTTGTCGCACTCGCTGACTGTATAAGATCTGGTTACGTTAGTGGACTGTTTGTCATAACTCGTAACATTTTGTCCTCTTCCTTTCTTCATAATAACTATATTGGCTCACCATCCCAGTTCAAATAATAATAATAATAATAATAATAACGTATTGTCACGTCACGTGGTAGATGTGCGTTGCATCTGGCTGTGTTAGAAGCTTTGTATATACGTAAGTTAGATCCTGAACTTTGCGTACAGAAAGAAAATGTGTTGTCGCTACAATTGTTTGGTGTTACTCCTCGTCGAGGTGTTAACAATGTAACTTAATTTGCTCACCAGGTTGGTGTCACTGTTATTATTTTTCTTCGAGTTTTTGTGTCGTGCTGAACTTGATAATTTTCCACCTTGTCACGAGTGTTGTTATCTCATTATCTTTACGCTATATAAGTTTTAGTCTTTCCAACTTGAGCCATTCCCTGTATATTCCTTGATGAGAAGGGACCGAAAACGTTCGGATACGTTTGACAAGTGCCTTATTTTGACTGAATGTGTGTGTGCGTGGATACTTGCGACCCGAAACGTACCTTCGTTTTTAAAGTATTATCCGCCTGCCATCATCAACACCAGGCAATCAAGCAATGATTGCATACGCATCAATGGAGGACGCTGTGAGGCACAGCAGGGGAGCTCCAAGGTCCTGTTTAGTCACCACCCTCCAGCAAGACGTCAAGTTTACCGCCGTCGCATTGAAGACGAGTGGCCACCTCGAAACCCTAAGAAGTTGTGCAGTTGACCGGCAGAAGTGGAGTAACATTTGTTCTGCGGTGGTGTGAACACACATGACCGACTGTGATGATCAATGATTTCATTTCATTTATCTTATTTTATTTTATGATTTTTTACGCACGCGCAAAAATATGTTAACACAGAAGGCGCATGCTCTGTTCCCAACAAACTCTCACACGCTCATTGTTCTCCGAAGTCCACTGTTCCTGACTTCAGTTCTTGCTTTGTCCGCATTGGCAGTGGATTTCTTTCTCAACCTTAATCTCAAGGTTTACCACAGCTCACGGAGATGCCCCGTGCATGTAAGCAGTCGGCTCCCGGGCCCAGGCGTTCCAGTCGCAGGCGCGCCTCGTCGTCCCCGTATGCCGACACTCCAAATCGAGCCCCTGCGGACCATGCGGCCGATCGTTCCGGCAATGCCCGTGCGGATCGTTCCGGCAATGCTCGTGCGGAGCAGGACGATATCCCGTCCGCCGTTCCCCAGCCGGCCAGCTTACTCACAACTGGCCTAAATCCACGTTCCGTTACGGCGGCCGTGTCGACGGCCCTGCACCCCCTGCTGGCTCGAGTCGAGCGCCTTGAGGAGCGAATTTCAGCTCGCCAGGATCCGGACGGCCATGCTCAGGCGGCGGTCCCCTCAGTGGCAGATGTGGTCAAAACTGCGTCCAACACCGTCACCCATCACCCGCCGCAGGTCGACTCCGGCCCCATGGACATTTCCCTCGTGCAACCCGCGCTGCCTCCGATCGCAGCGCCCATGGCGAACACTCGTGAGTCCAGCTCTATTGTTCCCACGGTCCCGCGTAAGTTGCTTGACAAAATCACACGCGGCGAATATATTGAGCTGGAGGATCTCCTCCCAGAGAATGTGGGCGCAGGGTCCGAGCCCTTGGAGCTCAGCACCGCCAACGGAGAGGGCCGGCGTGTGTCCCTCAATTTATGTGTGACTAAGAAGCGCTCCATTGTCGACTTCACTGCCTGGCTGGAAGCCTACACAATCTACATGGCCTGCGCACTGAAACATGTGCCATTCCGAGCACTGGAACTGGTGACGTACCAGCACATTATCTGTACTGCCAACCAGCAGTTTGCGACCCCAGCTGTACTGGGGTATGACCGTGCCTTCCGTGCAGCGGTGGCAACAACCTCGGCTCGTTGAGACGCAATCGACCAAAGCCTCTGGAGCCTGCACCTGATCCGGGCACCCCGACCATCATGTCCGCGCTGCACAACGCACCACAGCCGTGACCGTTGCCCACAGTATTTGGCAGGGCCACATGCTCCAGCTGGCACCAACACCAGCTGTCCTACGCAGCCATTTCTGGCCGGGGCGGGCAGCACCCGCCAGATCTGCCTCAACTTCAACCGTGGCCGCCCATGCCAACACCAGCCCTGTGAACGCTTGCACGTCTGCTCAACCTGCGGCGACCGAGGTCATCCCGCCGCTCGCTGCACCAACGACGGTCGCCGGGGACCCCGCCAGACGGACAAGCCCGTCGCAGCGAAGGAGTCTCCCCACGCCTCTGTACATAGCCCGCCTAATGACTCTTCTGCCTCGTATTTCTAATCGTGTCCTCTCTGACTTTATCCTTCATGGCTTGCAACACGGGTTCCCCATTGGCCACTCTGGTGCTTCTGTATCTATCATCTCTGGCAACCTCCCAACTGCCATTGAACATGCTCAGTTTGTACAACAACAAATTGCTGACCGGGTCCGACATGACGAATCGGCCGGTCCTTTCTCGGTCCAGCCTTTCCACCCATTTGTATGCTCTCCGCTCGGCATAGTGCCCAAGAACAACGGGAAATTCCGCCTCATTCACCACCTGTCTTACCCTGACCGTATGTCTGTCAATGATGGAATAAACAAGGATTCGTTCTCCCTACATTATGTCACAGTGGACGATGCCATTGAGCGTCTGCAACGTCAAGGTACCGGTGCCTTGATGGCGAAGCTCGACATACGCAATGCATTTCGACTGGTCCCGGTCGCACCCACTGCATACCATTTGTTGGGTTTCCAGTGGCAGGGCCAATTCTACTATGACAAAGTACTGCCATTCGGGCTGAGGTCCGCACCCTACTTGTTTAACTGCATTGCGGACGCACTTTGCCAGATAAGCTGTGAACTGTTCCAGGTTCCCCACCTCCTGCACCTTCTGGACGACTTCTGGCCCTGTGGCCCTGCAAACTCAACGCTATGTGCGCAGCGTCTGAACGTAGTCCTCTCCGTATTCCGCTACCTGGGAGTTCCCATTGCCGACGAAAAGACAGTCGGCCCAACCTCCTGTCTCACCTTCCTGGGCATCGAACTGGACTCCGTCCAGAAAGTGGCTCGTCTCCCACAGGACAAGGTTGACGACATCCGCTCCAGACTATTGGCCTTTCGCCAACGCCAATCCTGCCGTCTACGGGAGCTCGAACAGCTGTTGGGCAAGCTGAACTTTGCCAGCCGCGTCATCACGCCGGGCCGTACATTCATGCGCCGACTGTATGACGCCACGCGCAACGTTTCCAAGCCCTACCACCGCATCCGTCTCTCTCCAGAATGTCATCTGGACCTTCTTTGGTGGTCTCACCTACTCGATGGCTGGAATGGCAAGTCATTCTTCCTCGATCTCCAGGAGACTCTGGCCAGCGACATCCTGATAGAAACTGACGCATCTGGCGCCATTGGGCATGGCGCAGTTTACGGCACGCATTGGTTCGCCGACACCTGGTCACCACAACACACTCCGCTCTGCATTACGTTCAAGGAGCTGTATCCCATCTGCATTGCATGTGCTACGTGGGACCACCAGTGGTGTCGCAAGCGTATCCGCTTCCATACCGACAACGAAGCTGTCGCCGCTGTTCTCAAGTCTGGCACCAGTCGCTGCCCTAATGTGATGTCACACCTACGGCAGCTCTTCTTCATCTGCGCCAAGGGTAATTTTATGGTCACCGCCCGTCACATACCGGGAACTACCAACATCCTTGCTGACGCTCTCTCCAGGCAAGATTTCAAGCGATTCCATTCGTGCCACCCTACCGCCGCTCACATGCCCACTCCCGTGCGTGCTCTTCCGTCCATTCCTGGGGAGACTTCGGCCGTGCCTTGCACAGCCGAGTGACGGACGCCCACATGCAAACTGCCATGAAAGCTGGCAGCACCGGTCCTGGGTAAGCGCTGATCAGACAGACTGAGCTCACTTATTGTGGGTGCCAGAGCATAACCGAATGTCACCTATGTACCGACTGTACACTCAGTAACTCAATATCACTCTACTATTGTCCACAATCTGTGGCACCCCCTCTACAGTTAACAGTGAATAGGAGGTTCTCTATTTGGGGAGTCAACCTTGCTTACCAGGCTCCTCATACGGCTCATTCAGCCTCTCACACTCAGATGGCTCACTCAGCCTCGGCTCACTCAGCCTCTCAATACGGCTCACTCAGCCCTGCCCGGCTGCCTCCATACGGCTCACTCAGCCTCCGCAGCAGGGCCCTGCCCAGCTGCCATACACACACATTCACACAGCTCTAAGCTGTCACTCACTCGGAGCCTGGCAAAGCAATTGACAAACCCTCCTATTCCCCAAACTGGTTGCTCGTTGTGTGAGTGCGGCATGCAGATGCTTGTGTTAAATGATTTTTTGCGCACGCGCAAAAATATGTTAACACAGAAGGCGCATGCTCTGTTCCCAACAAACTCTCACACGCTTATTGTTCTCCGAAGTCCACTGTTCCTGACTTCAGTTCTTGCTTTGTCCGCATTGGCAGTGGATTTCTTTCTCAACCCACCCACCCACTCCACTATTGCCATCATCATGTTTCCTATTCTAGTTCTCTCCTGTCGGTATCCATTATCATACCGGCCTACAATAACTACACCGATGCCGTCTACCGGCGAAACTCTGTAAATACATGGAGGGGAGTCAACCTTGCTTACCAGGCTCCTCATACGGCTCATTCAGCCTCTCACACTCAGACGGCTCACTCAGCCTCGGCTCACTCAGCCTCTCAATACGGCTCACTCAGCCTCCGCAGCCGGGCCCTGCCCGGCTGCCTCCATACGGCTCACTCAGCCTCCGCAGCAGGGCCCTGCCCAGCTGCCATACACACACATTCACACAGCTCTAAGCTGTCACTCACTCTGAGCCTGGCAAAGCAATTGACAAACCCTCCTATTCCCCAAACTGGTTGCTCGTTGTGTGAGTGCGGCTTGCAGATGCTTGTGTTAATTATTATTTTATTTTTCTAAGAAAGAGCTTTGCTGATGTGGTGTATTGGAACTCATGTGAAATCTACACCGTGATTGTTTTCGTCAAATATTATATCTTCTCTTTTCTCTCTCTGCCGCGGTGCTTTTTGTCACTCCATTGTCGTGAGTTCCCTTTGGAACGTAGACGAGAATTATTATTATTATTATTATTATTTACCATAGCTCAGTGGTTAGAGGATCGCTAGCTACAAGCGAGGGTCCCTGGTTCGAGTCCTGGTGGTGACAGTCAATTTTTTCTTCAGACTTTTACCGTTTGTCTCTTTCCCTCAAACTAGTGAAGACTATTATTATTATTATTATTATTATTATTAACTGGTTATTATTAATATTATTATTATTTAAAAATTCGACGAGGAGACAATAATTTTAATATGGCAATAAGTAGGACGAGGATAGTTCCCTGCCGCTGTCTGCCGCTCCCCCTCTGACATCTGTGTTGGACGGGCTGGAGCTTGGCAGCTCTTTGGAGGTGCGTGCGGAACCGCCATTGGTGCAGCCCTCGGGTGTGCCTAAGTCTGTGCCTCTGGGTGCTTTGCATGGGGCTGTGCCTCGAGTGGTGACAGCACCTCTGCCTCCCCCTGACCCTCCTCCTTCGAGGTCTGTGTTGGTGGGGAGCACCCCCGGCGGTCGATTTGTCCCACCGGAACCAGAGCTGGATCCAACAGAAAGACCAACAACCATGGCTGCAACAACAACACCAGCTGCACATCCAACAACAACACCAGGTTCACATCCAACAACAACAACAACTAATCCACAAAACAAAGCAGCAAATGACAGACCACGGAGATCTACAGCAGATTACAACCGGACCTATGAATTCACGGTAAAAATACAAAGGAAACAATCGGAAAGGACGACGACTGACGTGAAGGCAACGGCATTCAGGGTTGGCGTGGGTGGTGAAGGTGAGACGCAGGACGATGCAAGTGAGGAGGAGAGTCAAACCGCGGTGGATGACGGAGCAGGTTCTGATTCGGACAGTGAGGGAGAAGGTGAGCTGAGTGAGGGTGAGAGTGAGTGTGAGGGTGTGCGCGTGAGTCGAGATTGTGTGCGTCCGTCTCGTAATAACAAGTCTTCAGTATACAATCATTTGGTTTCTAGTACTGACTGTTGTCGTACTTATTCTGATTCCTGTTTTTCTGTTTTGTGCCGTGCTCGTCATGGTTATCTTTTGCAGTTACAAGTTTTGGAAGCTGTTTGTCAGCGCATTCATAAGCCGAATTTGTGTGTCCAGAAAGATAGTGTTATTACCTTAAAATTGTTCAAATAATGTTCTGTTGTGTAGTGTGGCAACGTTGTTGCCACTTGTGCCTAAATGTGTTTTGTCACCTTCTTGTTTATTATTGTTATTATTATCATTCGTTCTCACTTTTTTGTTTTTGTTGCTGATACACACTTGTCACGCTTAGTTCTTACTTGTATACCCTTGTTTTCTGCACACTTTTGTGAGAAATCGCACCTCGATATTCTAGTGCTGTCATTGTATCGTGTCACCCTACCTTGATTGCTATATTATTTCCTTTGTTCTCATTTTGTTCTTTAGTACAACGGTGATTCCTGAAGAGTGTTGTACGAAAACTTGTTCGAATCATCTTTTTTTTTTTCCATTGCCCTTTTTCTTCTTACATGTATTTTTCCTTACCCTTTAGGTTGTTTCTTGCATCGTCTCCATCGCTTACATTGTTAATAAAGTAGTCCACATGTCGCTTCAGCTCGTCCTACTTATTGCCATATTAAAATTATTATTATTAACTGGTTTTGAGGGAAAGAGACAAACGGGAAAAGTCTGAGGAAAAAATTGACTGTCACCACCAGGACTCGAACCAGGGACCCTCGCTTGTAGCCAGTGATGCTCTAACCACTGAGCTATGGTGTAGTCGTCATATTATTATATATGATAATCCTAGCACTAAGGTAATAACAGGAAAAACTGCGAAAGCACTTAACGAACTTGTAAGGACTACTAGTATACTGTGACACAAGATATGACACCCTGGCCAACCAGAGCCAAACAGACAGAACAAGTTGCTACTAAAACAATTTCAAACGAATAATGCTGTCCTTCTGGACACACAGATTAGGCTTATGAATACGTTGACAAACGGCTTCTAACACACTCAACTGCAACTTATAACCATGACAAGCACGGCACAAAACAGAAAAAGAAGAATCAGAATACACCTTGCAGCAAAGAGGACGAGATACAAGATGCTTATACACTGATGACTTCCTACTAGAAAACACACGCTCGCACCCACTCTTACTCACACGATCATTCTCACTCTCACACTCACCGAAGATGATATTGCCAGGTCGCGTGACTCTTTGTCTAATGCCCGTGTCCAGTTTAAGTACTTATATGACCGTTCGCGTTCGTTTTTGTCTGCCCATGACTTCCTACGCTTCTCGCTGCTCTTATCTGAAAACGATGATAGACAACGCATACGACTGATCGCTAAGTATGACAAGACCTTCACCTGGCTTCGAAAGAAAAGATATGGCCAGGTTACCTTCAATCCAAACAGCATCATCAACATGTCAGCCGTGGAATTGACTGATGTGCAAAAAGACCTCCTTTCCCGTGGAACAGACTTCGGAATTCCGCCTTCTTGTAACAACAAAGAAATCGTCATGACAGAATTTGAACTGTTTTACAGGAAAATATTATGCTTTTCGCCGATTTCCGAGGCTCAACAGTCGGTGTGCGCAGCTAAACTTAGAGCAGAGGGTGAAGAGCATTCCGAACAATTACCAGACCGAAGTTCTTTCTCATTATCCCGCGAGCATCTGAAAGCCCGTAAAGAATTGCGAGCGAATAAGGACATCATCATAACCAGACCTGACAAAGGTCGTGCTACAGTCATTATGAACAAAGCTGACTATGTTGACAAAATGATTGTCATCCTTGCTGATACATCTAAATTCCAAGCAATTGGCCCAGTAGGACAGTTTGACAGAACCATGAAAGTAGAGGCGAAACTAATCAATTACCTAAAGAAATTAAAAGCCGATAAGAGTATCTCTACACATGAATTCGACTTGACGAAGCCGGTCGGATCAATACGTCCTCGCCTTTATGGTCTACCAAAAATACATAAGCCTACATGTCCTGTCCGGCCGATCGTCTCCATGACAGCTTCGCCACAATATTCAATCTCTAAGTGGTTGTGTAGGTTGTTGAAAGTTGTTGAGGAGCACTACTGCCAACACACTGTTAAAGATAGTTTCGATTTCGTAGAGAAGCTACGGGCCCGACCTGTTCCAACTCACTCACATATGTGTTCGTTCGATGTAGTGAGTGTGGTGTACCCGTGTACATCGTACATATTTGCACTCTCATGTTTCTTATTATGCTACTGCATCTCCTTGCATGGACGTGCGTACAACCTTACAGCATACTACTCATACTATGCATGCATGTGTGTACTCCGTGCCCATAATCGACAGTGCATGTCTCTTGTTGCTGTTCAGTCTTTCCTTGGTAGTTTCCTGACGAGTCGTCCTCTCTCAGTCCTTCGTTGCATTATTCTATTTCAATAACTAATCATCACATAGACTTGATGATACCACATGGCGCAGTGAACTTGTTTTAGTAGCAGTTTCCATTAGTCTTTCTCAGTCCTGGGTCTTGCTAGTACTTGTACCTCTGGCGTTTCGTCTCTCAAATATAGTGAAATAATTATTTGAAATTTCCGTTTCGGCATGGCGGAATCAGACACACCAGTACTCAGCCCTGACATTGCTGCCCTCACCCAGCTCATGAGACAGCAGATGGAGACCGCCGCCACCCGCGAGCACCACCTGACACAGCTCGTGGAGCGAACTTTGAGGAGCATTTCTCAACCT